CCCCCCCGCTGCTTGCCGCCTTGGGGCTCCGACCCTCGCCGGTCTCGCTGTCGTCGCCCGGTCCGGCGCCTCGCCTCGCCCAGCCTGCTTCACCGCCGCTGGCTGGACCGGCCCCCGCCGCGCCGCTGGTTTCGTCCGAGGCCAGCGGCCGTGCTCGTTCCACCGGGCGCTCGTGGCCATGCCCCTGCGCCCGAAACCCAGTGCCTGTTAAGCCCCCTGCCTATGACAAAGGGGCCCCACGCCCCTGAGAACGAAAATTTTAAAAGAGGATTTATTAAAAATAATATATAAAATAAATAAAATAAATAAATAAATAATAATTAAAATAATTAAAATATTAATTAATTAATTAAGCAATTAATTAAGTTAATTAATCCTGATTAGATTAACCTAATCACTAATTAAACTAATTAATCTGTTTTAGTTAATCTTAGTCAATGACAGCGGGACCCACATGTCAGGGTTGACCTAGTCAACCCTGTTGACTGCTAACGTCAGCATGGCATCATGCCGACGTCATAAATCCATTTTCCGAATTAATTAAATAATTAAGTAAATTCCAGAAATTAATAAAATCTTTAGAAAATCATATCTTTTAATCCGTAACTCGGATTAAAATATTTTCAACATGAAAGTTGCTCAGAACGACGAGACGATTCCGGATACGCAACCCGTTCGTCCGCCACACACCCCTAACATATCAAACTCGCAACTTTCCCCCTCCAGCTCCTCTGCCCGAAAACACGGAACACCGGGAATACTTTTCCGGATGTTTTCCCCCTTCGCCGGCATCACCTCATACTGCGTTAGGACACAACTAGCTTCGCTCTTTATCGTGTCTTGTGTTGTCTTGCTTATGTTTGCACTGTATTTACTGTTTCTCCCCCCTTTTCTCTCCGGTAGACTACGAGACCGACGCTGCTGTTGACCAGTTCGACTACAGAGTTGACGACCCTCTCTCTTGCCAGAGCAACCAGGCAAGCCCCTCCCTTGATCACCAGATATCGCCTATTCTCCTCTATACTGCTTGCATTAGAGTAGTGTAGTATGTTACTGCTTTCGTTAATCCTATTCTGATGCATAGCCTGACATTGTCGCTACATCTGTTGATACCTTACCTGCAATCCTAAATGCTTAGTATAGGATGCTAGTTTATCATCATTGGCCCTACATTCTTGTCAGTCTGCCTTGCTATACTATCGGGCCGTGATCACTTGGGAGGTGATCACGGGTATATACTATACATACATACATACTATACAGATGGTGACTAAAGTCGGGTCAGCTCATTGAGTACCCGCAAGTGATTCTGACGAGGGGGCTGAAAGGACAGGTGGCTCCATCCCGGTAGAGGTGGGCCTGGGTTCCCGACGGCCCCCGACTGTTACTTTGTGGCGGAGCGGCAGGGCAGGTTGAGACCACCTAGGAGACAGGTGGGCCTGGCCCTGTTCGGCGTTCGCGGATACTTAACACGCTTAACGAGATCTTGGTATTTGATCTGAGTCTGGCTACTGGCCTATACGCACTAACCATCTACGCGGGAGTAGTTATGGGTATCCCGACGTCGTGGTATCAGCCGAAGCATTTCAGACGTCAGCGACGGAGCGGCGCGCGCCGGATTGGAACGTAAGCATGCTCTTGTATTAAGGGGGCTAGTTCCGCTTTCGGCCGCGTACGCAACGTGCAGGTGTGCTATGGGCGATGGGCCCAGACCCCTGTGCGCTTAGGTTTAGACCGGCGTGTTGGCCTCTCTGTTGAGCCTAGGTGGGGCTGCGACGTGTTGATCTTCCGAGGCCGGGCATGACCCAGGAAAGTGTGTCCGGCCAAATGGGATCGAGCGTGTTGGGCTATGTGGTGCACCCCTGCAGGGAAGTTAATCTATTCGAATAGCCGTGATCTTCGGTAACAGGACGACTTGGAGTTGTACCTTGACCTTATGACAACTAGAACCGGATACTTAATAAAACACACCCTTCCAAGTTCCACAGATAACCCGGTGATCGCTTTTCCGCAGGGCGACGAGGAGAGGATCGCCGGGTAGGATTATGCTATGAGATGCTATTTTGGAGATGTTACTTGGAGATGCTACTTGGAGGACTTCAATCTACTCTCTTCTACATGCTGCAAGACGGAGGCTGCCAGAAGCGTAGTCTTCGATAAGACTAGCTATCCCCCTCTTATTCTGGCATTCTGCAGTTCAGTCCACTGATATGGCCCTTTACACATATACCCATGCATATGTAGTGTAGTTCCTTGCTTGCGAGTACTTTGGATGAGTACTCACGGTTGCTTTCTCCCCCTTTTCTCCCCTTTTCCTTTCTTTCTGGTTGTCGCAACCAGATGCTGGAGTCCAGGAGCCAGACGCCACCGTCGACGACGACCCCTACTACACCGGAGTTGCCTACTACTACGTGCTGCCCGCTGACGACGACCTGGAGTAGTTAGGAGGATCCCAGGCAGGAGGCCTGCGCCTCTTTCGATCTGTATCCCAGTTTGTGTTAGCCATCTTATGGCAACTTGTTTAACTTATGTCTGTACTCAGATATTGTTGCTTCCGCTGACTCGTCTATGATCGAGCACTTGTATTCGAGCCCTCGAGGCCCCTGGCTTGTATTATGATGCTTGTATGACTTATTTTATTTGTAGAGTTGTGTTGTGATATCTTCCCGTGAGTCCCTGATCTTGATCGTACACGTTTGCGTGCATGATTAGTGTACGATTGAATCGGGGGCTCCACAATTATTATATTAGGTAAAGATAAAGATAGGAAAATTATAAGAAGTGAGATGACGTGTATGTCAATTCCTATAAAAAATGAGATACCATTTGATGCATAGAATAGGATTTTTTCCATTGAGTCTAGGCTAATGTTTTTTTTCCTCCAAAATGTGAAGGATTAATTCCTATCCTACATAGGAATAGGAATCCATTCCTACAAACCAAAGGGTTTTAAAGAAATTTTTCCTTTGCAAATTCTATCCTATAGAATTTCTACAAAAACCCTACAAACCAAAGGAAGCCTCAACATTTCTAGAATCCCAGGCAAGCATGTCGTTGAAGCAAGATTCAATATACTCAACTCTCCCAAATCTCAGATAATAATATCACAATAGTACGTACTCCTACATCCCAGCAAAATATTTACAATTGCATCACAAGCATGCAGTTTCTACAGGTGAGCCGCAATAATACAGTGTCACCACTACCGCACAATGTCTGTGGTAACAAAACGCAATGCAACAAACTGATGTCTCGTGGTAAATAAGCAGCACATCAGACAAGACATTCGGTAAGCCAGAATTCAGAGAACTTGACGTATCAGCGAAGACCCGAAGAAGCACCACAAAGCACAGCGCACAAACATATTCTCAAGCCTCACACAAATCAACTTATACGACTAAACCCTTTTTCAGCGATGTTCTACTTACGAAACGGCGCGCGATAGCTTCCCTGCGCAAGCCACCGGAGATCTCAACTCCGACCCGACTGCGACCGGCTCCCCTGCTGTTCGACGTAAGGCCGCACAAAGGTCCTCCTCCACCACACCTCAAAGGCCTTCTGCAGGTTGGGGCAGCTGTTCCCAACCTTGAGGAAGCTCCCGAGCCACGAGAGCAGTATCGTCTGCTGATCCTCCAGCGGCAGCGTCAGGATGGTCGACCCGATCCCTTCCTCGACGACGGTCCGGTCGAACGACCTGCAACCGTGCTGCAGCCAGTTGTAGTCATCCATGAGAGGCTGCAGCCAGACATCCAGGAGGAGCTGCCTGGTGTCCTTGGACGGGAGCATTTCGCCTTTCCCAATCGCCACAAAGAGCCTGGCAGTGACGCAGCTCACAAGGTGGCGCGACTTGGTCGGTAGCTTGGAATGAAGCCCAGCCAGCTCACGTTGGTTAGACCACAAGCCTGCAAATTCTTCTGCAGCATTCCTGCCAGCCAAAATCTCGGTTAACCATAACAGATTATCCGCTTCGAGAGTAATCTGCCGAAGAACCGGTTCCTTAAGCTCCAAAGACTGCTCAGAGAAACCACTGTCAGATGCTTGTTGAAACAGGGTCAGCAGAGACTCCAGGCAATTCTGGCAATAGCTGTAGAGGGTCTCAACACATAGGTCAGCAGAGCTACTGGCACAGCTGCTGCTGCTCTCCTTGAGAAGCTTGAGCACCAAGGACTTCATCTCGCGCCTCCCTCTGTCATCACTGCTTTTCAAAACTAGTTCTATGATACGCACAAACGTGTCATTTGGTGGGCTCGTTAGGTCAGAGCATACCCTCTTCAGTATTGGGGTGACACCGTAATCCTCGGTCTGAAGATGCCGAACAGATGAGACCACATTCTCCTCTTCTTCCCCGGCCCAAGGGACCGCTTCCAAGTAATTCAAGCATGACAGAACACATGCTCGGAAACCCAAATGTTCTGCAACCTGTACAGTATAGAAGGAACTAAATTACATAGCGAACAGCAAACAGAAGTTGAAAAAAAAGGTGCATTTGTTCTGAAGATTCTAAGTTGGTCATTCATCCTAATTGAGGCACCATGTTGCTAAGGAATGGCCAATGTGCATGGAAGCATGGGCCTGATTGGTATGATTATCTCAATCTGCACCAATCGGTACATGCAAGCAAGATGCATTATCAGTCATGGGCTGTGCCGTCTTTGCTGACTTACTATCATGGATTAAGTGACAATGCAATATTTATATAGAAGAAAATATTCCTTTGATATAACAACACGCAACAGACATGGATATAGTACTCGTTACACTTAAAAAATGGCTAGTGGTGGTTCATAATTATATGTTGCTTCCTTAGGTAGACATACCAAGTTAAAAGTTAACTTTTATTTAAGTACTAGATTTCCCTACACATGACAAGCTTCTAGATTTGAAAGCATTTCGGTGAAGGAAAAAAAGGCCCCCATATTAAGGAAAAATATTGCACTAACTTAAAGCACCAGAAAGAAAACTTAAAGCACCAGCACATGTCAATTCTAACTTTCTTATCTCTAACAAAAGCAGAAGGCTCGGCTTTTTACCGTTTCTACATCTATACTAGCTAATTATTAAACTATAGAGTTAATCAAACTGAGAAAAGGAGATGCAGAGTTAACGTTGGGTAAACCTTCAAGATCCGAAGTACGCGTGGAACACTTTTCTTGATCAACCTCTGCTTGACATCATTGCAGTACATCAAGCCAACAGTCTCAACATAAATCTCCACATCTTCACAATCAGGCACTTCTATGCTGGACACTGGAGATTGCCTTGACAGCTTATCGGCAAAGAAGGTGCTATTTTCAGCAAGGATGTTCTTGTGCACACTCATCTTTACAGCAACACCATCCTTGCCATACAGCACAACTCTCAAGTCACTCATCTCAATCTGACCAAAACCAACAGATATCTTATGCTGCTTCGGTAGCCTCTCGCTCGCCGCCTTCGGTGGATTGGACGTGGCATTGTCCGCCGCCGCCGGGCATCTTTGCTCGTCTGAATTAGCTCTGGACCTTGTTGGAGTCGAATGTGTTCTCCTCTCCGACGAGATAGTCGGCGCCCTCTGGACCGAGGAGGCCTTTGACGCAGGAGGGGATGCACCCACTTTGGGCCTTGTCTGCTGGTTTTGGTTCTTCACTGTCTTCTGGAGCACGGTCTGTGATGGGCAGCACCAGAACCCTTCCGGGGTAACAGCAATTGGGACGGTTCTGAACTTTGTTGCTCGGGCATCAAGGCTTCCAACCTTGAAGTCTGCCATATTATGTAGGAAGCTTATGACCAGTGACCCTTGGAGGCAGCTACTGAACCAGCACTAGTTCGTATTCCTGAGAATAAGTAACACGCAGGAGTTAGACTGATGAACTGAAGCTGGAACTAATAGTGTATATGTTTTGCTCTGTAAGTAAGAAAGAGAAGATTTTATCAAGAAGTAAAGAGCAGACAGTTTACAGTATCTCTCTCAATGAGCAGTGAGTGTACCTCCAAGTACATAGTTCACACTCTTCTTCATTACGAAAGTGGTGCAAACTTGGGATCCATCTCTCAAGCCCAGAAAGAAATTCGAACCAGCAGCAAATGCTCGGAAATTTCATAATCAAACTACGAGACCAACTCTAGAGTCTAAACATTTATAGAACCTGACTACATGGTTGCTCAATCTTGAGCAAATTGGAACAAATTCACCAAGACAGTTTACAGCATCTTCTTTATGTGCAGTGTGAGTACAGCTCCTAGTTCATAGTTCACACCTAGATCTCTCTGTTTTTTCATCTGAAAGCTAGTACAAATTCAGACCGGGCTCTGAAGCCCAGACAGAAATCTGAACCGCCAGCAAATGCTCTGAAGATTCATGAGCAAACACGCATGGACTACCAGACAAACTCCAAACATTTCTAGAGTCAGGCTGCAGGGATGCTCAATCTTGAGCAAATTGAAACAAAGCCACCGTATAAAAATACCAAATCCACCTAAAATCTTCCGCAGTTGGCGACTCAGGGAGACCAATTTCAGCCAGGTTAACACGCAGCAAAAGGAAAATAACGAGGAGCGTGAGAATGTGACACATACCTCTCCTGCTCTCCAATCCGGCACCACAAATCCTCCTCAAGCTCCGGCCACGCGCAGACGCCCCCAATCCTCCACCAAATCACCAGCTCCCCAGGAACCACCGAGCGAAACTTGAGCAGAGCCGCCTCAAGCCCTCAACACCTCAGGACATCAGAGACTATCAGAGGCACCGAGCGAATCACCGGGAGGAGCTCCGTCCCTCCCCCGCCACCGCAGCTCAAACCGCAGGCAGTAGTACTACTACTACTAAAGAGGAGCAGCCGCAGCATCTAGGCAGGCATGGACGGAACCTCGCATCATTTCTTTCCCCCCACCCCAAAGCCGACGGGGAAAAGACGGAGCGAAAAGCGGCCACCGAAGGAAGGAAGGAAGGAAGGAAGGAAGGGGACTGGGGAAGGAAAAGAGAAAGAGAGCAGCAGCAGCAAAGCAGGGCCGGCAGCTTCTTTCCGGACGGGCGAGAGAACGACGAGCGGTGTCCCCCCTTTAACCGCCTACGATGATGCCACCCCGGCCATCATGGCACGGGCGCATGGCATGGCAGCCTCTCTCCCTCCTCCCCGCTCTGAATCTCCTTGTTCCTCTCCCCTTGTACCCTTGCTTCCGGGCCTCTCCTCCGCTGCCCCACTCCGCGCTCTCCCTTCCCCCTCTGCTACTTCTGGTTCTTCTCTCTTCCTTGGTGGCTGTACACTTGTGCACTTCTTTCTTTTACCACACCACGCTGTCCAGTCCCCGTCGGTTCTTGCGAGGAGCCTCTCTCTCTCTCTCTCTCTCTTTCTCTTTCTCCTTCGCCGCAGTGTGCGGGCCACGGGCAGCGGTCAGTCTGAGTGAGTCAGAGTGGTCTGGGACTCCGGTCTGCTGGTGTCCTGTCCGATTTACTCCTCCTTTCGACGTTTACTCGTTCACTGCTATCCTCTCGGGCGCTGCAGCCTGCAGCTGCTTTTGTTTTCACCCCTAACCTCGACCTCTATCCGGCGGTCTGGCCTGTGGAAGCGGAGCGTAATCTATCTCGGCGTTTGGTTTTGCACCGGAGAGAAGACTTTTCATCGCATGCACGCCTTGGTCTGGCAGCCCCCAATACTCCTCTTGCTTCGCTTTTACCGAACGGTGTTGCAAGGACGGACTAGCCTCTACCTTTTTTGCTGCAAATCTGCGTAGACGGAATCAACAGGTGCACAAGAAACACTATTCGGTCGATGAAACTCTGAAGCGAGTAGGAGTAGCATGTTGCCGTGTTGCTTGGGAGGAACACGCCAGCAGGACGCGTCCTCTCTCATGATAACTACTGATCATTGCCCTAGGGGTTAGAGCTTGGGATTGTGCCTAACCTAGTGTAATCGTCGACGTAGTAGGTTAGTACTCGCTTTTGGACGCGAACGCTCGGAGCTGAGCTCTCGCTTTTGGCCTGCACTTTACAAACAGTTAGCGAGCAGATCGGTCGATCGATCGATCATGGGCAATGATGAGAGCACGGTACAGGCCAGTTGGGATATCTACTACTAGCTCTCATAGCTCAATGCTCAATCTGTCGCGAAAAAGAAAGAGAGAGACTCGACGTTCAACAGTGCACAAGTACCGGCCCTCAGCAGTCAACAGTGAACGGGAGACCGGGCTACGGCGACACCCTGGAGCAGGACGTGACGCTGACGGAGGCGGCAGCAAGGCAGGGACCGGGAAAATGCCAGGTGCGCTGGCGATCGACGGGACGAGCGAGCAGCCGGCGGTCGCGGGTTCCTCCCGCGCATGCGTGGTCAGTTTCACTGTGTGCCCGCGTGCGAGTGTGCCCCCCTCTCGGCCGTTGCCGGAGCCGGACCCCCTCGCCCTCGGCACGGCGCTGCTTGGCTGCTTGCCGCTGGTTTTTCTCTACTACCGTCATCGCGCGCGCACGCGGCCGGCACGTACGGCGACCTTTTTACGTGCCTGCGCTGCTGTGCGGGGCCACGTACATGCATGCGTGGCGTCGCCGGCTGTTTCCTCTGCACGAGTTTCGCGGTCTGCGGCGGCGACCACGGCGGGAGACAAGGCCACAAGGCCATGTTTACATGTACGGGATGGCTTCACTACGGCGAACACGACGGCGGCAAAACAAGCGCAAGAATACAAGAGGCCAGTTCGCGGAAACTGTTCTGTGATTTGGATCCGTTTGGTCGGACAGGTAATCGATATATTATTCCAGTAAAAATGTTGATTAAGTTAAGCTCGAAAAGTTGGTAAGCAAACACAACACCGGAGATGAATATATAGTTACTGTGGGAATCGTCATCGCTGTCCATCGTCGTCCAGCCCGGTTAGCATACCATCCCGGCAATGGAGGGCAATTTTTTTCCCTTTTTCTTTTTATTTACGTTGTTGAACTCGTAACTTTTAACGTCCACAGTCCCGGCCTATAAATCTTTTTCCTCGACTAGTAAATATGGCCCTTTTTTTTTACCCAATCTAAGGATGCATTTTGCTACAGCTGGGTAGCTCATGTTTTGGATGATACTCCTGTATCACCATCGGCAAGAAAAACGAAATAAAGTTGTCTAAGGCATGCCGAAGTTTTGGCAAACTATCCATGCATCACTCTCTTTGGACCCGGATATCGAGCGGAAACCAAATGTTTAGGCATGACAAATTGAACGTTTTTCATGGTAAATTGTGTTCGTCGGATATGCAAGTTTGGTTGCCGAGCGTGGCAAATCCACCTCAGTTCATTTTTACCAGTCGTCCTTACAAACTAAATTTGTCATCCTCGGGTCAATATAAATTTTCATAAAAAAATGTTCAATTTGTCATGTCTAATAATCTAACGTCACATTTTAAGCCTTTTCTCTCTCTTTTTGGTAAGGTCAAAAAAATTAGTGGCCCGAAATTTTGGGAACAATTAATCTAAACTAAGTTTGCTAACAATCGCATCAAGGTGGTGTCCCACTTTCTAGGGAACTTCCTAGCCACGTTCCAGCACCCGCATAACTGTGACCTCGTCGCCGTGCTCCCCAATAGGTTCTTCAGAGATGGCCTTGACATGTCGACGTGTACCACCAGGTCCACCTCTACATCGAGAACATTCTCTTGAACGCCTGGAACAACACTGTCGCTGAGCAGGTGCTTGGCCTCAACACCTTTATGCACTACTTCGACATTGCCATCACCAGACACACCAGACGCGAGGACGCTACCACTCTCAGCCTTTGGGTGTGGTCGACAAACCCGTCGGCCAGCCCAAAGGTTACCTGGCTAAGGGTGGGCAACAACCAGCCGATGGGCGTCGTTGATGGCCTATCGGCGATCGTGGGGAGGCGGGGCTCTGGCGCCGTGTTGTTGTTCATCTCGATCTCCACGAAGATTTCACCCCCGATGCCAACGGTGTTGTAACACCCTCGATGCGGCTATATCTCCCACGTGTCGGAGCACGACTTAGAGGCATAACCGCATTGAAGGCAATGTCGCAACTGGGGTAATCTTTACACAACCCATATACTGAATAAGGAAAGAGATGCATAGTTGGCTTACAATCGCCACTTCACACAAAAGCATAATTAACATTACATTCATCCAGATACAATCAAGGTCCGACTACGGAACCAAAATAAAGATAACCCCAAATGCAACAAAGTCCCCGATCGCCCCAACTGGGCTTCACTACTGATCGTTTGAAAAGGAAACGTAGTATCGACGTGAGTCCTCATCGAACTTCCACTTGAGCTCAGTCGCATATTCTGGAATAGTATCATCGATCCCTGCATCTTCTTTTGGAAGTAATCTGTGAGTCATGGGGACTCAGCAATCTCACACCCTCGCGATCAAGACTATTTAAGCATATAGGTAGGGGTAAAGGTATGAGGTGGAGCTGCAGCAAGCACTAGCATATATGATGGCTAACATACGCAAAAGAGAGCGAGAAGAGAAGGCAAAGGCACGATCGATAAACTATGATCAAGAAGTGATCCTATAACAACCTACGTTCAAGCATAACACGAGACCGTGTTCTCTTTCCGGACTCCGCCGGAAAGAGACCATCACGGCCACACACTCTGTTGATTCATTTTAATTAAGTTAAATTTCAGGTTATCTACAACCGAACATTAACAAATTCCCATCTGCCCATAACCGCGGGCACGGCTTTTGAAAGTTCAAATCCCTACAGGGGTGTCCCAACTTAGCCCATCACAAGCTCTCACGGTCAACGAAGGATATTCCTTCTCCCAAGAC